AAAAGAACAAAGCTGGAGCCATTACACTATAGAATTTGAAAGCATACTATAAATCTACAGTAATCAAAACAGTAGAGTATTGCATAAATACATATATTTATACATGCACATAATATATATATTAATATATATACTAATAGAATACAATAGAGTCCAGAAATAAAATTAAGCATTTACAGTCAATAAATGACAGGCTCCTCAATAAACTGCATGCGGAAATTTGACATTCACATTCAAAAGAATTAAATTAGAACTTTATCTTAGACCACACACAGAAATCAACTCAAAATGTATTAAAGCTTTAAACATACTGTTGTAAAAAAAACACAGGGAAAAAACTTCTTGACACTGGTTTGGGCAATGAGTTTTTAATATGACCTCAAAAGCATAAGAAACAAAAGCAAAACTAGACAAGTAGAATTGCATCAAACTAAGAAGATTCTGAACAGTAAAGGAAGCAATCAACACAATAAAGAGACAACCTATGGAATGGGGGAAAATACTTGCAAACTACACATCTGATACGGGGTTAATATACAAAATATATAAGGAATTCAAATAGCCCAACAGTAAGAAACTAAATAATCCTAGAAAAAAATGGGCAAAAAACCTGAATAGATGTTTCTCAAAAGAAGACATACAAATAGTCAGCAAATACACGAAAAAGTGCTCACCATCCCTAATTATCAGGGAGATGAAAATCAAAATTATACCTATTAGCTTGGCTACTATCAAAAAAAAAATCATTAAGAGAAGACATAGAGAATGGGGGCTCTATGTAGCCTAGCCTGGCCTTGAAGTTGCAGCTGACCCAAATGCTGGGATTATAGACATGGAAGTTTCATACACTACTGGAGATGTAAATTAATACAGCTGTTATGGAAAATGGTAAAGGAGTGTAAACGCCGGCCATGTGCACCCCTATTTTGTGACTTATGGTGACCTTCATAGGAAGAAGTCCTATTCCCCTGAGGACACCAGGGAGCCCCTCCCCTCCACAGCCCTGTTTGCTCAGGCCCCTCCCTCACATGCGACCACAGGGACTTTGCCTGATTCCTCAGTTTAACAGAAGCTGCACATCTCAGACCAGACTGATCCTTCCCCACTCCCAATGGGCCCTGGGACTTCACTATCCTCCCCTTTGGTTCCGTCCTCATCTGTGATCTTCTGCCTCCTAAGCCACCTTGTTCAGCATTCCCTACCCTATTCCCAATGGTCCCCATCACTGCTCTCCCAACTGGTACTCCAGGTTGCCCCCATTCTCGTGCTGAGTGACTGGCTCCAGAAGGAGGGAGGGACATAATGTGGCATTGTGGCCCCAGTGCTGTGGGGCTGGGAAGGGCTTTTACTTGGGTTTTGTTTCTGACAGAAAACACGTTATCTTTTATTATAAAAGCAAAAACAAACCAAATAAAAAACTAACCTATGAACTGCAAAAAAATAATAAAATATCCATTATGGATTACTCAAAATATTATAGAACTATCCTATCTTCCAGCAATTCTAGGCATATTTTCGGGTATATATTCAAAGGAAATGAAATCAGTATGTTAAAGAGATGTTTGCACTACCATGTTCATCACATCATGGTAGCCAATACACGTAATTCACCTAAGTGTTAACTGACAGATGAATGAATTAACTTTTTCCCATAAAATATAAGAACAATCTGGAAAATGCACAAAGATTTAGCTACAAGGATGTTTATCATAGCATCTTTAATATTATAGCATAAAGCTAAAAGTACAAAAATGTTAACAGTGGCATAATTTTTTGGGAGGACTACATGTGATTTTCAACTTTTTCTTTATTGTTCTGTACGGCTCCCACATTTTCTCCTTGAAGAACTATTTTTTTGAAATTAGATTAAAATGCTGTTAGGAATAAGTGCTTCTCCAACTCGAATGCGCTTATGAATCAGCTGAGGAATCTTGCTGGGATGCCGGTCCTGACTCAGGAGATCTAGTGGGCATCTGAGATTCATTTTTTGTTTTTAAGCAATCTCTCAGGTGACAATTGTGATGCTGGACCCAGGCAACACTTTGAGGCACTATCTGTCTTTTCCTCTAACCCTGTTCTATAGCTACTCTGCAAAATACATGTAGGTAAAAAAGCTTTCCATTATGGTAGTATCCTTAATATAATACTTGGTATTACCACAAAGCCCATGTAAATAAACACTTTTCTAGTTTCAAATCATTTAATATATCAATCACTTTAGCCTTACCATAAAGTTTGTCGATTACTCTAATTCTTATTTTAAAATCATGGTAAAAATACCCGGATAATACTGAAAATGCACCGGTAACATCTGAAATGGTCAGGTCAGCATTTTGCTATTTTTGGTTAATGCCTGTAGGCCCTTATAAGAAATTGCAAAGAACACAATTGAACAAATTTGAAGAAGTTTGTTAACGAAGCTTTAATATAATAAACATTTATTGAAAATTGTGCTAGTAATAACTAAACTGACAAGTTCTATGCCTTCATGGTGTTCAAAACCAAAGAGGAGACAAAGGTAACATAATTTTAATACTATAAAATAAGTCTTACTAAAAGTACATAGAACATGACAGCAGAACATAACTATTGTAAATTTTCTGGAGAGAGAACTCAGTGAATGTCAGTACTCCCATTCATTCTGAGTCAGATGAAAAGACAGAACTCCTTATACTTTTGCTTAGAACTTCATCACTTATGTGTGCATCAAATAAACTATTACAGAATTCTTATAATTTAATTTAAGAGTAAAAGATGAAATACCTGGAAACTGTGTGACCTTTGTTCTGTATTTCTTCCTATATTTAATGTTACTAGAGAAGAAACTGATTAAAAGTTTGTTACATTTTCATACCTGCTTAAGTTGGTAATCAGTCATTATTAAATAGTTCATAAACCTACTTTAAAAAAAATTGCATGTTTTTGCACGTGGTTGCTTCTTAAAATGGCACTTTGAAAAAAATACATCCAGACTATTTATTAAGAGGAGACATTGAGTTTTTTTTCTTGTCAAACAAGTCATATGAGCAAACTGCTTCAAGTAGTGCTAGACAATGTTTGTATAAAAATGTATATAGTCAAAAACTGCTTCCCTAACTCATTGCACAAATGAACAAAAATTTGTGGTTTCACCACAAAAATAAACATTGAAATTCTGAACTGACAGGATTCCTGTTGCTGTTTTATTAGTGTTTCTCTTCTCTATATCAATACATTCTATAACAGGAAACAAGAGCTCCATGCTTACCATACTGTTCCTTACATTTAAACTTATGATGTCTATTATGTTTTCAGATATGAAAAGAGACTGGAAGAGTACTTAATGAACTTCAGTTGTTCCTTAACTATTTCTCACATTATGACTATTCACAGTGCTGCTACAAGGGTTGCTCCTAATTTTAGTTGTGTACAATAACCCTACCTATCTAATTTTAAAAATCTTAACAGCAATTAGTCTGTTTTTCTAAAAGAAATCTCGGCTCATGATATGATTTTCCATTGCTAGACTTTAAAATGTGTTTCAGAAAGCATTTAGGTCCCATACATTTATAAAAATGGTGAGAGTCTATTTCAAACATACCTTTTAATTATTAAAATGTCCTGGCATTTATTCAAGATACCTTTACTAAACACTTACTATATATGGAACATATATTGATGAAACAGAAATTAATTCAATTCTGCTCTCATTTCTCATTGAACTTAAAAAAACCTTTGAGGTGCATAAAAATGATTCCCCAAATAGCCTAAGGGACTAATTTAATAGACCAGGAGAAGCAGAATAAAAGCTTTTGTTACAAAGCAAATTTTTTTAATGTACTATTATTTCAGTACTTAACAGTTCACTAACTTGATGATATATGAAATTCATTACCTGTCAACTTGCAATATAGTAAAGACTAACTGTAAATAATCAAAACCTTTTGAGAAAAAACTTTGCAAAAATACATGTTCTTTTTTACCTACTCCTTAAAAAGATTGGGAAAGATTAAAAAATTCTGATATACTAAAACAATAACTAAAATAAACCTGTATAAAATTATTCAGGTGTTGCATAATCCAAGGAGTAAACTTTTGTAAACTACTTTTTAAAATGAGTTTTCTTCCTTAACTGCTTAGAAAGCATAAACACAAAGAGGCAAACACTAGTCCTATTTGATGATCAAACAAACATATCAAAAAGGGCAAGAGTGCCAAGGGTAATTCTACTGTTCCTTTAATGAAAGTGATAAAAACACCTTGGGGAGGGTCCAAGGTAAGATGTGGAATGGAGGCACTGGCACTGTTTACATGTGAAACATTTCTTTTGAAGTGCTTGCCACTGAAAATGGTTCCATATCACCATTTTAGTAGAGCAGTAAGTCTAAACATTTTAACATGCCTGGAAAGAATGTGATGCAAACATAAACAACTCCCTCCTTTACCCGTATTTGTAAATGCCATAAAATACAATTATGAAAGCCTTGATGTCCATAATATGAAAGTAAGATTTTATATAGAATAAGAATCTGCTTTTATTTTAGAAAATCTTGCTTGTACAAACTGAAATAACATTCAGATATAGATTTTAAAATAAAAGATAGCAAACATAATAGAAGTTTCATTGCAAACTCAAGTATTCTTACCCCCTCAACATTTAAAGCTTACAAATATAAGAAATTAAAAAATAAACAGACTGTTTTCCTTTTTTCATTTTTATATAAGAACAAAAAATAAAACTCAAACAGTGACACTAGAAATGATATAAGAACACTGTGGAAGGTTTTCTAATGATACTCAACTTAAGTAGTCATATATAAAACAGAACAATGAATTACATGATTCAGCTCAACTTACACTCAAGTTTTTGTGAAATTTTTGCAACTTCATTTTGCAAAGTATCTTAGGGCTAATCACAGAAAAACCCACCCCCAAACCATGGTTCTTTATGCTTAATTCTAAATTCAAACATTAGTTGCTAGTTTAAAAATATCGTTAAAAACAACAACAAAAAACCTTACTTGATGTGTCCCATAAGGCAGTGTGTTCAGAGAAGTGAAGGCTGTCATCTTCCAGAGCTGCTTTCCGATCATGTGTAGTGCCTTTAGAGTGTCTATGAAATAATCGACTAGCAAAGCCTTCCAGTTTCTGAAGAGCAGAAGATGTTCCTGTATACTGGTTACAAGGCAGTTCTCTATAAGCTGCCATTCATGTGCATTTACACTTTACTTAAAGTAACTGGAAATATTTCCAGAAGGAGCTCAACAACTTCTTACAGAGAGGCTAAGAGCTATGCATGTGTCAAACTTCCTGTTTGCAGGGTATTCAAACCACTACTGCTGTTCTGTTTCCTGTTAATATAAAACAGCACATTACCGAACTTTTCTTAGCAAACTCTTCATCTCAAGTAAAGATGGGATTTTAAAACTTGCAATATTTGCCTAAAAGGCTTTATCTTTGAGTGTTTTGGTACTAATATACTGGCTAATAAGAACATTAATTATAAAGCTTTATGTGTAGCAGGCTGAAAGTTTTTTAAAAAGGGAAACTAGTTGAACATGTATTGCAACCCTATGCAAACAACTGAAGGCCAATCAGCCTCCAGACATAACATGTTAACAAGACAGGTGGTATTTTTCCCAGGAAATTGGCTAATGTACAGATTTTATGAATCTTCATAAGCAGTTAACTTTTTACACATTAAAAAAAACCTGGTATGGAATGGATATGACAAGATTCTTACAAAATTAACTGGTAACACACATGTTATAACTAAAAAAAAAATCTGAATGTTGCTAACTCAGTAAATTAGTCTAATCTATCCAGGAACTACAGAAATTTAGCATGTCAGTAGTACTGCTTATCACACTTATCTATTGACATGTATCTGTCTACCAGTAATATAATTTCATACACTAAAATTTGAAAAGATACAAAACATCAGATTTTAAATATATAACTATTTATATAAATAGTAAGATAATTGTCAATTATAATTATATAAGATATAAGCCATACCAAGCTACTTCAATTGAGAGAAAAATTTTCTTTCAACTGATTGAGAAGTGTTAATTTTAAATCTTAACACAGAAGATTGCTGTTTACCTGATTCTCTGATTTAGTGATCTTACTTAGAAAATTGTCTTTCAAATAAAACTAAATAAAATTTACAAGCATCAATTTCCAGGAAAGAAAGTTTCCCTGTAGCATTTATCAAGAATCATCAGTTCTTGCCTTTTGACACCAATAAATAGATGAGAAATTTGTAGGGTTTTACCTTTGGGAGCGCTAAATAAAGGAAAGAAAGAAAAGAGAAGAGAGAGGAGAGAAAATGAAAAGGAAAATATCTTTAAAAATCTTTCTAATAAGTATCTAAGTTCAGATTTTCTGCGAACTGTTTGACAAATACAATAAACAGAAATAACAACAAATAAAATAAGTAGGAATAAAAATGAGATAAAATTAGGGCTAAACACATACAGACATACAACCAAGTCTGCTAAAGAAACATTGACTGGTGAATTTTGCCATTTAACAGTGCATGTTACTTTGCTTTGTATAATAAAATTAGAATCACTATGAACAAATAGGCAACAGTATCTGCAAGACTAAACTTCTTAAATTTGTAGCTTTACATATAAACATTATGTGTGTACAATAATTTATCTGGCAGTGCCTTACACAAAACAGATACTGAGTAAATGTCTGAAGTGTTTAATAAACACCCAGAGCATGGACTGACTCAGTATGGTAAGAAGTAGTAAAATTCCTAAAATACTTTGACTTGCTCACCTAACAAAAATTCAACTCATTTCTAATGTTCAGTACAAATGTCACCTCTTAAATGTAGTCTTCCACATAGCCCTAGGAAAATAAACTTCTGTTTCCTGTTTTAAACATTTTTATGATTTTATGTTAAAATCTGCTGTTTATGAATTTATATGTCCTGAAACAGTGAGTTACTTGAATTAATAAATGCAATGCACGTTATTATACACTCAGTTATTATATGATAAATAAAGTATTCATTCATTTTTAACACCTTAGGCTAAATAGAATCAACAAAGGTCTAAGTAGAATCATTAAATACTGGAAAATGTTTTATTTATGATAGGACTATATTTGTAAATAATCCAAGAGGCACCAAGTTGCTTATACGGGGACAGCAATAGAAGTAATACCACTGAGCTTCTCTTTTTTTCTATATTAAGTTGCTATATGTTATTCAAATATGTTTATTTTATTTGCATTCCATTTACACTCAGTGTAAATGTAGCTTCTCTAAAATAACCTCATTTTTCCCTGCTTCTAGTTACCACCTTCAATCATTCATCTGACATAGTAGTCTCCCCAAAATATTACACTCATAGTATTTTCCCTTGCCAAAGACACAAACTAATCCTAACACTTTGACTTGACCATATACATTTTTAAACGGATTTAAAAATTATTGATTCAAGTCAAGAAATTTCAGATTAAAAAAAAACACTAAGATTTATTTATCTAAAACAATGCACAAGCTTTAAAGCAAAATTAGTATATGGTATAGCAAAATACGAAAAAAAGCAAAAAGTAAACTTCATTAGCTGAATATCTTGAAAGCATTTCAATTATATGTTTTATTATTTTTTTTCAATAAAACTGACACTTGTTAGGAAGCTCTTACGGAAAGTAGACTAGTTAGATTCTACATATGGCAATGTGACCAGGAAGCTATTGCTACGGAAGCACTCAGGCAATTTGATTTTTATTGGGGTAAAGAAAACAGAACTCTACTGGCATCTACTGCTAGAAAGAAACAACTACAGTCTCGGCTAAAGCCGACTTGCTTTAAGAAACAATGGCAATTTTCTGAGTTGAAACTGCCTTGATTACCATATGATATCACAAAATATTCCTGTTTCTTATATTTAGTAATAAATAGTAGTAACATATTTGCCCAGCACTTTACAACACAAAATAATTTGCGTTATACAATCATTGTGAAAATCCTTAAAATTAAGTGAGCCTGACTTGTTTCATTTAGCATGGCATAGCAATTGAGATTTAGTGATGTCATAAGTCTCAATATTTCATTTTTTATTGTTGAGTAAGTATTCCTTTGTATGGATTTACAATTTATACATCCATTCACAAAAGAACTGCTTTTGCACCTGTCAAAAATCAATTAACCATGGAGTTAGGAGGATTGCAGTTGGAGGCCAGCCTGAGCAAAAAACTTAGCAAGACCTTTTCTCAAAAAACAAGCTGGGCATGGTGTTGTGTGTCTATAATCTCAGGTACAGAGCAGATAGAGGTAGAAGGATCATAGTCTGAGGCTGTCCCAGGCAAAAAGCACAGGATTCTACCTGAAAAATTAGCTAAAGGAAAATGGGCTGGGTGTGTGACTCAAGTGGTAGCGCACCCGCCTAGCAAGTGCAAGGCCCTGAGTTCAAAGCCCAGTACCACTTAAATTACATAAAGGAATGAGTGAATCAATGAATGAATAATAAATAAACCATATTTGTGTGGATGTATTGCTGGACTCTATTCTGTTCCACTTCAATCTATGTACCAGTTCTTTCACCTATACAAATACTGTCTTGGTTTTTGCAGATTTCTGGCAAGTCTAAACTCTTACAGTGTAAACCTTCCAACTTTCTTCACCCTTGTTCTTCTAAATTGTTGAATATGTATATTTATCAATCCCAAGGCCAAATCAGTTTTGCCACAACTACAAAAATAATTGTGCTGAGATTTTATTGGGATTTTGCTCATTGGGAGAAGTAACATATTAATTATGTTGATGCTTACTAATTTATAGACATGTGACTTGTTTACTACAACCTTGTCAAACTCTCTAATTTTAGGAGTCTATTTGGAGATTTCTTGGGATTTTCCTATATACAGGATCAGGTAATCTTTGAATAGGCTATTTTTTACCATATTGCATGCCAAAGACTTTTAGTACAATTTTGAACAAGATAGTAAAGAGTGGACATTCCTGTATTATTTCATGCCTTAGGAAGAAAGTATTCAGTTTTCCTTCATTAGTTATGATGTTAGCTGTAGACATTTTTTGTATATACTCCATATTAAGATTTTAATAAAGTTTCCTTAGCTAGAAGTTTTTATCTTGACAAGATACTGAATTTATCTAAATTTTTTCAGCACCTGTTGTTATAAGATATACCATAGTTTTATTTTCATATAGCCATTGTGTGATTTTGATAGCCAGTTAAGGCTGATGACATAAAATAAGTTGGGAAGCACTTCATCTTCTATTTTCTAGACGAGATTGTGAAAGTCTTTTTATGTTTGGTAGAGCTTACCAGTGAACACTATCTGGGACAAGAGTTTTCTTTCTCAAAAGATTACAAATACTAATTCAATTTCTTGAATAGATATAATACAATCTATTTTATCTTGACTGAACACTGGTAGTTTGTGTCTTTGAAGAAATGATCTATTTCTGCTAAGCGGTCAAATTTATGCAAGTAGAGTTGTTTCTAGCATTCCCTTATCTTTTAATGTATTAGATTCTGTAGCAATTATCCCCCTTTATTCTTTTTTTCTTTAAGTTTTAGCAAGGATTTATTTTAACAGAATAAAGTATAGATGGGGGGGGGAGAGAAAAGAGAAGGAAACATTTCCTATTCCCCAAATGCGAAATGAGAACAAAGACTCCTCCCCTTTTATTCTTGATATTGGTAATTTGTCTCTTTTTTGCTTGATCAGTCTAGTGAGAGGATGTAAATTTTACTGATATTTTCAAAGATCTATGTTTTCATTGATTTTTTCCCATTTTTCTATTTTCATTTTCATTGACTTCTATTATTTTTTTCCTCCTTACCCTGAATTTTGTTGAAGAGAGAGTATAAGCAATAATAGGAAGGACCAAGCGTTTTTGCTAGTTGAGATAAGAATAGCTATACAGGGAGCTGACAGGCATTGTTTTCCTGCACATGTGTGTTACCTTCTAAGTTAATTCTTCTCAAACTAAACTTTTCTCTAGTTCCTAGTCCCCTTCTCCTATTTGTTGAGGGCAACAAATGCTATCTAGTTTTTTGGGTGTTCTCGCTTTATCATGTGATTCACTTGTTGTGTTTGCCCTCGATCTAATGTCCGCATATGAGGGAGAACATGATTTTTGGTCTTTTGGGCCAGGCTAACCTCACTCAAATGATGTTCTCCAATTCCATACTTTTACCAGCGAATAGTAACATTTTGTTCTTCTTCATGGCTGCATAAAATTCATTGTGTATAAATACCACATTTTCTTAATCCATTCGTCAGTAGTGGGGCATCTTGGCTGGTTCCATAATTTGGATATTGTGAACAGTGCTGCAATAAACATGGGTGTGCAGGTGCCTTTGCAGTAACCTGTGTCACATTCTTTTGGGTATATCTCCAAGAGTGGTAGTGCTGGATCAAACGGTAGATCAATGTTTAGATTTTTAAGTAGCCTCCAAATTTTTTTTCAGAGTGGTTGTACTAGTTTACATTCCCACCAGCAGCGTAAGAGGGTTCCTTTTTCTCCGAATCCTCACCAACCCCTGTTCTTAGTGGTGTTGCTAATATGGCTATTCTAACAGGGGTGAGGTGGAATCTTAGCATGGTTTTAATTTGCATTTCCTTTATTGCTAGAGATGGTGAGCATTTTTTCATGTGTTTT